CACTTGTGAGCGCTGAGCGAATATTACAAAAGACGTTCGCGATACGTTTCGGACGGAACGATCGTTTCTAAAGTGGTTTGTTTCGCATTCTGGGAAACATAAATGTCTTGTGCAGCTTCCGAAAGGGCGGTACGAAATGAAAATGATAAGATCTTTAAACAAAATAACAACAGATTACACCAATCATCCTGTTCAAAAGTTTACACCCCCCTTCCTGGCTCTTAAAAGTACCGTGTCGCCTTCTTGAGCGTCAGTGAACGAGTCGTGTACGAGTCCCTCGGTGTGAAAAGACGGATCTCAGCATCATAGAGCCGCTGTTGGAAAGGGCTCAAATATACAGAATACGCTGGAAAAGCAAAGAGTGTGCAGGACCTGGAGGATTTTTCTGAAGAACAGCGGGCGGTTTAACTGCTCGGGACAAACACGGGACTCGTGAAGAACTCTCACAGCACATAAAAGCAGACGCTGATCGTCCAGGTAACGACACACGGGATTAAAAATCAAGGGTGTGTCAACTTTTGAACGAGTTCATTTGTGTAAATTCAGTTATTATTGTGTCTTGTGGACTATAATGAAAGCTTTTTAGGGCGGGACTAAATTTAGAAAATGCGATTTGAACTATCCCAATTTGAATGAATTTTTCAAATGATTAACATTTTGCAGATTCTGCAAGGGGTGTGTACATTAATGAGCAGAACTGTGTATGTAGGAGTAAGGAGTTAAATGTGGAATGGTTTTAAAATAAGCTCCTTTGCCCTCTATACGTGTGGTTAATTACAGAGATTTCCTGAGGCACACTTTTGCTGAAGGTTATGGCTCGTGATTAGTCCAGTCAAATATACATCCAGGTGGAAAGTATCTCCTTCATTAGTGTCCGGTGTACGAAACTGTTCACCACACTCTGGGTCGGATTCATGGTCAATATACTGGCGTACTCTTTCGTCCTGACAGAGGAAATCCTCCTGTATATTCCTGTCCGTGTTTCGACCAACCTCTTTTTTTCGTTTTTGTATCAAGAATATTTGGTGTCCGAGATCCGTTTCCATAGCAGTGTTTTGAGATTGTTTAACACAAGCGAGTGATGCACCTCCATTTGGGAGGCCAGGCCACTCAGTGTCATGCAGGTGCGCAGCTGCTTGTCCAAGTCCTCCATCAGGTCGGATGGTGCCCCAAAAAACAGGAAATCCCTCAGGAGAGCACACACTTTAGCTAGATTTGGTCGCACCACTTCCGCGTTGCACTGTTTGGCCAGACGGTCACACGTGGCTGTGCAGTCGCTCCCAAACGTGCAGTCAGTGTTGACTTGGCAAGCTCGTCCTCTCAGGAACGCCCGTACTGTTGCTTCTGGTACCACACTTCCCAGGTCGAGCATCTTGCAGTCATAGTCGGCGCTGTAGCCTACTCGCTGGGGTGTGGCGTCACACATGTAGAACGTGCCGTAGGCACCATGGAAGAGCTCTTCGACCATCTCTAGTAGACCGATCGCAACACGGGCGCGGTGTGGCCAAGCCGGAGCCAGCCAGTGGTTCAGGGAGCTGCTTAGAGCTTTGGGCAACAGGGGGTGGAGCCAAGATGGTATGTTCACACTGAAGAGGGTGCTGTGGGCCACATGCTCTGTGGTGTAAAGTTGGCCACAGAACCCCAACAGATGGGGCGCATGCTCTTTATCCTGTAGCACCAGAGTCAAGACAAACTCATTAATGCGCAGCAGAGCCCACACTGACTTTGCTTCGGCCAGAGACACTTTACCATCAGCGTTGACATCAGCCAGTGAGACGATGCGCGAGACAAGTGAGCCAAGAGAGAGCTGTTCCCCCAGACTGTTCTACAGAGACGACAGAAAGATAGAGAGAAGAACTGCTGAAGAACCGGTCTTCTTTACAGGTTTCATGACTTACGTTTTACACACTGTTGCTGTTATCGCGATGACGTCGAAATATAACGCTGTGGGTGAAAATTAGTAGATATTCATAGACGACGTAGAACACGTAGATGGAAAGCTCCAAAAAATAAATCAACGGACCGAAGTACCTTGAGAAAAGCGTGCAGCATCTCTCGGAATTCGTCCATGGACGTGCCACGGGTGGGTTTATCGTACAGACTGGCATCACGCTGAGCGTCATGCAATCCACACTTTACTACCACGGCTTTCTCTTTCCACATGGCACTGTATACCTGCAATCCACACACACACACACACACACACACGTCTCACTCTCCTTGTTAGGATTGTCCATTATGAATGATATGCCACATCTAACACTAATCTTAAGAAGTTGAAGGGCATATATGAGTGTGTGTGTGTGTGGTATGAGATGATGTGACTTCGGTCTTGGTCCAATCAGCTGAGCAGTTTTACTCTTTACATGTTCGAACAAAGATTTTAACATTTTTTTTCTGTGTTCGAACATCTGAGCGCCGCATCTAGCACTACTCCATATTGCAAATGCCCCTGTCAGAACGAGGCGAGGATATCAGTCGTGTTACCGCTGAAGTGAATGATATGGGTTTGTGAATTTGTTTACCTGATGTGTCGGCGATGTGGAGAGGCAGCGCTGTAGGGTTAGAGTTTTCTCCTCACACAACGACTTGCACACAGAGCCAGAGACAACCCCCTTATGGTAGTGCTCGCACTGATATACACACACAAGACAACATGTTATTATTCTAAGGAACGCTATGTGAGTACAGTACACACACACACACACAATACACATACAGTATCTACATGAGTTCCTGGAACCGCTGTGTACGCCCCTTGTGAGTGATCCCTTCCTCGGCCTGATCATGATAGCGTGCGTGAGTCGTCCGAGTTTCTTGACTCGAAAAGGCGGCATAATCATAAATTCTGACAATTATCTACATACGGTATAGGGATACAAAACAGAACCTTTTGCTTCGGTGAAAACCCGAGTGACCTGGAACACGCCTGGTACGACACTGCTAGCGAATGCTATAATATATTAGCTCTGCCTTTCTATTCACACTCGATCTGGGTGGATGAAATGACGAGAGGAAACTCTTCCATGCTACGTTGAGTAAACGTGACGCTTGCACTGATCACATGACGGCGAACTTTAATGCAGCGGTTCGCTGATGTCAGACGTGCATTCTGGGAGCTGTCGTGCAGTAGCTTACGATGAGCATTGTACAGACGTGTCCCCTGCACAGCTCGGAGTAGGAGGAGTACTGTATGTAGACAACCCAGCTGGCCACCAACACACCCAACCATGCCACCATCAGGTACTTCACCTTCACTGCAGGCAAGCGGGACTGAGCAGAAGAAACGAGAGCATGTTATTCAGAAGTCAGGATAAAAAGTGAGACAAAGAAACTTTCTGACAAACGTCTGACCTTAAATAGCATGTTTAATAGAGTAGGAGGAGGTTTAAAATGGTGTTTAACAGAGCATTCAACAGAGCAGCCAATCTGAGTGCCGAGAACAGAGCCAGCGAGTGTGCCGTTACAGACGAGTGCAACGTGCCGTTAATTGAACGAGTAGAAACGTGTCTGTGTGGAGCTCCTGTGAATTTTATTCCCATGTTTGCATGGGTTCCCCAGTTTCCTCCCGCCTCCCAAAAGCATGCCAGTAGCTGTATTGGCGATTGCCCAGCGTGTATCACTGGCACATGTTCCCTCGGTTGGTTCTGGATGCACAGTGACCCTGACCAGGATAAATCAACGTGTTTTGAAGCTCATTTAAAAGCTGTTGGGCAATTGGGCAAGTGCCCAGGAGCACCGAGACTTCCAGGGAGGCACCAACTTTATCACCAATACAAAATGAAAATTCTATCAATTTTACGTGAGCACTATTTATTTACGACTTGAGTCCCGCATCTGCGCCGAGTGAGATTTAAGGTTGAGGCATGTTATGTCATCATGGACAGGTTCAGATCATGCCTATCCGAACGGACTGATGCATACAGTGAGGTCTGTATGAGCCCGTGCACAAGAGATGAGAAACTCTCCTCCACATGCAGGTAGGTCCATATATATTTGGACACTGACAAGTTTTGTTCTTTTGGCTGTTTACCAAAACATCTTCAAGTGACAGTTCAATAATAAATAGGGGCTCAACGTGCAGTCTCTAATCTTTCATTTAAATATATTCCCAACCAAGAGTTTAGGAAGTACAGCTCTTTAATATGTAGCCCCCTCTCTTTCAACGGACCAGAAGTAATTGGACATTTGACTCAAAAGCTGTTTCATGGACAGGTGTGGGCTCTTCCTTTATTGTGTGTTTTCATCAGTTACGCAGGTCAAAGGTCTGGAGTTGATTCCAGGTGTGGCATTTGCATTCGGAAACTGTGAACCCACAGCATGCAGTCAAAGGAGCTCCCAGTGCAAGTGAAACAGGCCGTCGTCAGGCTGCAAGAGTTGATTCAATGGTGTAGGAGTTATATGCAGTATCACAATGTCAATCTAATAATAAATGGTAATGGTTATAGAAGTAGAAATGACTTTAGAGTATCACCATGTTTGTTTTCCCTGGCACGTTCTTAGCAGAAGCTAAATACGGCAATAAATCTTAAGTCGCTCAGCAGTAGCTCAACAGTTTTAGGATTGCAGTCATTGTCGTTGTTGTTAATAATAATCCATCCATCTTCTACACCGCTTTATCCTCTTCAGGGTCGCGGGGAACCTGGAGCGTATCCCAGGGAGCATCGGACACACGGCGGGGTTACACCCTGGACAGGGCGCCAGTAATATTCCATCCATCCATCCATCTTCTATACCGCTTATCTTTCAAGGTCGCAGGGATCCTGGAGCCTATCCCGAGGAGCATCCATCGCAGGGCAGAATCACACACACACTCACACACACACACACACACACACTCACACACTCATACACTACGGACACTTTAGACACGCCAATCAGACTACCATGCATGTGTTTGGACCGGGGGAGGAAACCGGAGAACCCGGAGGAAACCCCCCGCAGCACGGGAGAACACGCAAACTCCACACACACACACACACACACACACACACACACAAAGGCCCAGGTGGGACTCGAACCCCCGAGCCTGGCAGTGTGAACGAACATGCTAACCACTACGCCACCGTGCGCCCGTTAATAATAATAATAATAATAATAATAATAATAATAGTTATTATTTACATTGTTATTATTATTAGTGGTAGGAATAGTATTGGGTGACTGTTATTGGGGGGAATGAGATGAAAGTGCACCCTACCTGCAGGCCCTTGGACAGCGGGCACAGCAGCACGAGATGCGCGAGCCTCCGCAAAGCGCGCGGCATCATCGCGAGCCGCTCATGTCCTCTCACCGCCATACGCGGAACTGAGACCCGACATCGCGCGCGCGCGCACGCGCCCCCTTTAAAATCACTCCAAGGACCGAGAATGGCCAGGGAGAGGATTAAAATGCGGGCCCCGAACACGACCTCGGTCCTTTCTGCAGAGACTCAATGCGGTGCCGACGTGTGTTTCATCTCTGCGGCTTCTCCTCTGATGAATGTAACAACGTCCTTCCGAAGCCGGAATGTTAAGAACGTGTCCTTTCCGGTGCCGCGAACTCGCACCGCGCTCCGAGCTTCTGGTAGAAGAACGGTCCGTTACATGAGGAGTGTGTGATGTGAGGCCCGGTTCTCCTGCCCTCACGCGCACTAACGAAAGCACGGACGGCTTTTCTCTTTCTCCCTCGCTGTGATTCGACGGTGTTTTAAAGGGGGGGTTGATACAGGCTACAAAGAGGGGGGTTCGACCGTCCCAAGGAAAACACTCTCTTAAAGGAGTAGTTGTGAGGGACAGGGCTGGAATCTCCGGCGAAATTTCAAACAGGCAACTCAGATCTGATTTTGGTTTGCAGGAAATCATTTGTGCCCGAACATTTGTGTTCGATTTCAAATACGATTCAAATTTGATGTAGATCGTCTCCGTGCACTGCGTCCAAGTACATTTACCTTTCATCAATTCCCTTTCCTTTTCAAATCCGTCCATCCATCTTCTACCGCGTACTCCCTTTCAGGGTCACGGGGAACCTGGAGTCTATCCCAGGGAGCGTTGGGCACAAGGCGGGGTTACACCCTGGACAGGGTGCCAGTCCATCACAGGGCACAATCACACACACACTCACACACCCATTCATACACTACGGACACTTTAGACACGCCATCAGACTACCATGCATGTGTTTGGACTGGGGGAGGAAACCGGAGTACCCGGAGGAAACCCCCGCAGCACGAGGAGAACATGCGAACTCCGCACACACAGGGCCATGGTGGGAATCGAACCCCCGACCCTGGAGGTGTGAGGCGAACGCCTTTTCAAATCCTAAAATAGAAAAAAAGGAAAGCAACTAATCCAAATTTGGACGTAACACTGTGAGTTAGAAGGACTCAAAAAATCATTCAGTCGGTTTTCCTTCAAATGTTTAGTTTATAAAGTGAAATGTCCGAGTTTTGTACACCTCGCCGTTTCAGCATTGGGTACACGCATATTTTAAGTGTTCTACTTTATTCATGAGCAACTCAGAATGTTCACGACTGTAACATGTTTACTATTATTCAAAACAGTTCATTGTACAGTAAAGCGTTTGGAGTTTTTCACTAACCAAACACAATGGGTATAAGTTCATCTGGTATTCATCTAACTATGAATTCAAGGTTTATTGATGTGAGTATTGATTGCACATGATGAATAATAAGAATAAAGAACCGATTCTTCTATCCAACACTACCACTTGTTTCACAGAAAAAGCAGCATGGATTTGCCCTGGTTATATAAGCATGGTTAGCTTAGTGTTTTCATCTGGAACAAACACCTCAAGACAGAACATACCATCAGGAAAGGTCAAATTATACTAGTTTGACCTTCTGTGACTGTTATGAGTAAGTTGTCTCTCGTGCTGTTCCTGAATGAAAGGTAATACTGGTCTAGGTGTTCAGTGCATGGTGATATTCCTGAGTTACACATGATCTATGAATATGGAATGATGATGAATAAGATATGATGTAATATGATGATATTTCCACTGGACAGGGTGAGTAGGCAGTTTGTTATTGAGGGTCGCGAGAGCTTGTGGAACAAAAGCTGTTCTGGAAACTGGTGTTCCTGATCTGGATCATTTCAGCAGCTTCTGCTGAAAAAGAGTTTATGGAAATGTTAGGAGATGTATATGCTACTATACTGGTGGCTGTACTGCCACCAGGCTGCACTCGCAGACAGAGGGAGTGAATGGCTTGTCCGTGGGCTCAGGCATTTGGTAGAATGGAGATAATCATGGTTCTTGTAGTCAGGGTAGATGACAAATGGGTGTTTGGCCCCCTCGATCCACTCCTCCAAGATTAATTTTACAGCCAGCAGCTCTTGGTTTCCAGTGTCGTAGTTCTGCTTGGCTGGGGGGAGTTTTTGTTGGGGTTTGTCCCCAAACATCTGTGAGAGAATTTTGGATACATCTACTTCTACAATGAACGGAGGCGAGACCAGTCAGAGAGGGTTTACAGGAAAATACGTGTAAATGCTGGTGTCTTGATGGCTGACAGCTTTCAATTCTACCAAACGCTAGCTCACCCAGTTAGTGTGAGGGAAAATGGATATACGCTGATTTGCATTTTTTTGTTTAAACCAGTAAATTATCTTTTCTGGGGCAGCCAAGGGAAAATGTGTCTTCAGAGTATTCTGTGTTTGGGGGGTATGGGGTATAATGCAACGCTCCTGGGGCAGGGAGGGTTGGGGGTCTCGCTCAGGGGCCCAGCGGTGGCTGCTTGTCAGTGCTGGGGCTTGAACCCCCGACCTTCCGGTCAGTAACCCAGGGCCTTAACCGTATATATGTAATGTATGTATTTCACTTATTTATTTTTTTACATTTCTTTTCTTCTAAATTCCATGATCACATTCCTGACCTTATATATACGGATTAAACGTGCTGCTCGCTCCTGTCCTGTCCTGTCTGTCCTGTCCTGTCCTGTCCAACAGATTTCCCACAACGACATGTACACGTGTTAATCATTCGGACCGTTTTCTGCAGGAAGTGACGCAATCCCGCAGCCGTCTCCACAGCTACTCGCTCCACTTCCTATCATAAAGATTCCCAACGTATGTCCTTCACGACGTGTTTCACTGTCAGAAGAATAGTGCGTTATATAAAGACATAATCACGCCAGCGGGAACCACGCCCCGCTCTATTCTCAGGCCACTAGTCCCCGAGCACACCTAAAGCCGTGACGTGGAAGGTAAACAACGACGACCCGGAAGTGAATAGAAGCGCTGCCGCCGCGTGCGCCTGGTTCTGGGGAAGCCCCGCCCCCATCAGCTCCCCGTTCCGGAGGCTCTGACTTCATCACGCTTTCCGCGAGCACCATTTTCCCCTCTGTCCCCGCGCCACACCGAGCGGCTCCGTTCCGCCCGTTCCGACGTAGCCGAGGTTTTCTCGACGCCAAGTTTCAGAGTCGGCGCCGCTCAGGGCTCGGCGGGTACACACTGTGAGGACTGATAGGTGTGTGTGAATGTGAGGAGGAGGAAGAGGAGGAGGAGGAAGAGGAGGAGGAGGAATGGAGGTCCTGTGGGCTCTGCCGCTGCTCGTCGTGCCGGTCCTGTTCTTTTGGACCAGCTCCACGTTCGTGTTCTATTTCAAAAAATGTTTCTACGTGGCGTACATGATGCTGCTGGCCCTGATCGCTATCCCCGTGTGCATCCTGAAAAGCGGTGGACGGGACGTCGAGAATATGCGGTGAGTAATCCACGGACGGAGCTGGTCCGGTCCGGTTCGGTTCGGTTCGGTGCCGCTAACAGACTGGGCTACACGTCCCCGCGTCAGAACCAGGCTGGATCTCAGTCCCGTGTACCGGATTAAGTAGAGAACCGAGTATGTAGTTATTTCCTACTCGACCACTCAGTGTTCAGGAAACCCGGAGACGCTGACATGAAGCCCTTTGTATCCATGAATGGACAATTGTCATGTCTGGCATCTCGGCTTGTACCGCCAGATGTTCACTGGTGTCGTACAGCCAGATGTTCACTGGTGTCGTACAGCCAGATGTTCACTGGTGTTGTACACCCAGATGTTCACTGGTGTCGTACAGCCAGATGTCCCTCCAGTTGTACATCCGGATGTTTGCTGGTGTCGTACATCCAGATGTTCGCTGGTGTCGTACATCCAGATGTTCGCTGGGGTTGTGCATCCAGATGTTCGTTGGTGTTGTACAGTCAGATTTTTTGATGGCGTTGTACATCCAGATGTTTCCTGGTGTTGTACAGTCAGATGTTCGCTGGCGTCGTACAGCCAGATGTTCCCGGATGTTGCACAATCCGACCCCAACCAGTTTGCTACTTATGCTAAGCTATGTTCTCAGTCATGGCCTCCGGAGTGACATTCCCCATGTACTGTGATCGTTGTATTTTTATTCACCTGTCAGTCAGGTGTTCACGAGCGATACGACTGTCAGAACAAAACAACCAATTGGGCACGAGGTTAAATTCCTAGCAGACTAACAGTCATGTTATGTATCGATGTTAATATCATAAAAAGTATTAAAAAACGATAAATAAATAAAAATACGAGGAGAAACGAAATGCATTTGCGTCGAGGCACAGCTTTCCCGGATTGGCGGATAGTTGTTGTGTTGCTTTTGACTCGACTTGATGCTCGACTGGTGTTAAGTGAATTTGAACGTGAAGGTGATCACATGGGTCCGATCAGACACATGACGTGCGCACCCCAGAGAGATCCTGCGCTGGAGAGCCGCTGTATAGCTCGACCGATCTTTATTCGAGTCCCACAAGACAGTGGGTCTTATGAAATCGTACTTGTGAGTCGTTTTGTTGGGTAACTGTGAGGAAATACGGACTCCGAGCCAACGGATGAAGTTCGAGATTTTGTTTGCTACGCATGTCTGTAACTGGTCCTACGCAGTGTCGCCAGGTCTACCGAGGAAGACGGTTAGAGCATGCTCATACAGTCGCTGGGTGACGTCATATACTCATTTGCATATTCAGTTATCCATTGAGACCACTGGCACCATGCTGATGGAGTATTTTCACGTGGAATATAATTTTATCAGAACAGAAAACGATAGATTAGAATACTTTTGTTTTAAGTCGCTTGT